TATTTTTAGCAATTTGCAATGGATAAAGCTAAAATGGTGCTATCAAGTTTTACTGCAAAAAATTCAGAGCAAAATGCCTGTGTGATTATCCACTGCTCTACAAGTAGCAATGAAAGAGAAGACATTTTTCCTGAGTGTCTAACCATCAAGCTTAAAAAGAAATAGGCCTGAGGGACAGAAGTTCAACAACTTGAAGCAAATCTGTCTTGAGTTTGTGAGAGAGGCAGTGAACGGTGAATGGGCACAGAATTGATCCAATAAGAGCTGAGCCAGACACCATCTTAAAGGTTTACAAGGATTTGGCATTGAGGCTACCAAATAAATTGAAAAAAGAGAGCCTGCAAAATAGGATAGGAACTTTTCAGATAATACATGTGTTGTTAAAAAAATATTATTGTTATTAATTGATGAAAATTTTGATATATCCAGAAATAAGATATTATCAACGAGTTAAACTAAACCAACTGGACTTTTGAGCTTTTGAAGCCAACGTTTCATTTTAACAGGGCCTGTGTTGGTGACTGCAACTCTCACTAGATGTAAAGGTGGTCTGAGACATTTTAGTGAACTCGGTGGTTTGAAAGAGGGGTGAAGGAGGCTGTGTATAAAAGCTCTTTGAGACTCTGATGGTTGATATTGAAACATTGACATCAAAAGCTAAATAAGTCCAGTTGGTTTAGTTTAACTTGCTGATAAGTATTTTCTCATATTTATTTTTTTAAGGTATGAGTATTGGACTTTTGTCAAAGTGGAATTAGCAAATCCCCGTAGTCTATCTTGTTTGCTTGTTTTATTGATCACACCTTGCTTGTATGTAGACACAGGTGTAGTACAGTGCATTGACTCCTGAAGTCGCCAATATCACATGGTGATGTCGTCTTGCCTGGTTGCCATGGAGATATCGAGCCTGTCCCTGGTACAAAGGTTAGGCACTGGTCAGAGAGAGCGGGTTAGACGTGAGCTGAAATCCGGTGGACTTATAAACCCGCTGCCTCACTATCATCGCCGTGGAGACAGTACAGGGGGCGGGCTTACGCACAAAGCCATGCATCACTGTTTTCTATTGTTATTGTCACACCAATGGCTGTTTCCCAGACGCTTTGTCATGTAGTGTGACTCACTGAGATGTATCAGCAGTGAGCAATAAACAATGCCAAATACAATCACAGAATAGTGCTCCATTTGGCAACTGTTAACATTTTAAACAACAATATAAAGGTTAAGGCCTGTCACGATAACACATTTTTAAGCATGATATATTGCCCATTTTTAGATGGACAGTATCATTAAGAAGCATGAGCTGCAACAGATATATAACAGAATCAGCCAATAATTAGCCACAGAAATCACTTATTCAACCTTCTAGAGCTCAAATCTTATATTTAATACCCCAATTGTTCCAGAGCTAAGTCAATATAGACCTATAAAGATGTCCTGTGTAACTTTGGCTGGAATGTTCCACAGTACAACATTTATTGCAGGTGTTTTTATTGCTCAAAATGCTTTGAAAAATGCAAAAATGTATTCCAACTGTGAGCCTCTCTATAGATAAGTTTAATGTCATGCAAGCAGGTAGCAAACCTCCACCAGGAAGGATATACTGTGCACCTTTAAACAGTTTTGTAAAATGTTCATAGCTGCCAAATGGACAACTACTGTGATTGTATTTGTCAGTTATTTGTTTATATTAATTATGTATGCATAATAGCAAAATTACTGTAGAAATGACTAACTCAGAAATGCACCAATGGATGCACCATGTCTTTGTCTCAGCCCATGGATTCAGAACACATTTCTTTCTGCCCCAAAATATATTTTAGGATACAAAATATAATGTAATGTAAGGTTACTGTACTACTACTGTACAAAGCAGCTTTTTAAGAATTTGAGTTTGACTGAATATCTGAAGTGATGTGTGAAGCATCAGATGTAATCTTTGTTGAGTCACATTTTGTCACATTGAGACAGTGGGAGTAAGTGACGGCACTCGCTCCATGTCAGGTCTTCTGGATATACACCTTTCAAAAGTTATCAGTTAAAAAGGAAAAATAGGTTTATTTCACTCTTTCACTCTCAAATTTGGTAATTTTGTTAGTAACAAGACTGAAGAGAAGACATTAAGCCAAACTTTGAAGATTTTGATAATTTAGCATCTTGACTCTGAATAAAACATGATGACTTTCTGGGACAAGGGCAGGAGCCAGACTGATCCTGTGTTTTGTCTGGGGTAGTTTAGAAAGTAGACTCTGGGCACAGTCTGTGGTCAGTGACTGAAGACAGGCTATTTGTTTTTCTTGTTTTGTTTGTACATATTTGTTGGAGTCTAGAGTCTAAAGCCTCTGATGGGCAGGTAATGAAACAATGTCTATGTCAAATTGAGTGATCAGTTAGTTGTGGGAGATATGGCAAAAAATATATATATTTTTTTTGTATTAACTCTTTGGTTGAGGATCTGTCACCTTCTTGTTGCTGTGGATATTGCATTGCTCTGCTTGGAATGCTCCACAATATAACATTAAACAGATCTATCTTATATTTATTCAATTACAGGTGGTTTTATTGCTCAAAAATACATTGACTGTGAACAGGGGTTGCCTCTCCACAGATCTGACTTGTAATTTGTTCTGTTTTGGTCTCCATTATGATAGAAAGGTTTAATGCCATACTGTGAAACATTTCTTATCAAGCAATAACATCTCCAGCTGGCATACCCTCTACCAGAAAGTTACTCTGTGTACCTTTAAGCCAGATCAGAATTATGATTTTGTACTTTTCTCTTGCCTTCGAGATAGATAAACACATTGGCTTCTTCTTCAAGTTCATGCTTCACTACGATTGCTTAAATCCAGCTGCCATTCACTCCAGGTCTTAAAAAGAATATTTTAAATAATCCCAAGTAAGTGCATAGTGGGTGGGGAAAGAGGTTAGGTGAAAGCAGAAATTTTCTGAGCACTAAAGCTACAAATGCAGGACAAAACAACTTCATACTTAACTTCATACTAGAGCCCGACCGATATGGATTTTGCTGTGGCCGATATGAAACCAATATAATGGCAGTTGGAGCTGCTGATAGCCGATATAATCACCGATATATTTAGGACTGAAAAAGGACTAAACCGGGACTTATTTATTTTATGCTAAACTACAGTCAAATATGCTCGTTTTTTTAATTTTTATTTTTTTTAATCCTACGTACACGCAAATTACTCAAAGTTTCGTTTTTAGCCGCTGCCGCTGTCATACCATGAATCTGCACGCGGCGTGAAGAGAAAAAAAGTGAGAGAAAGAGAAAACACAGCTCCCAATAAGGATCAGGCTCCTGTCGTTCGCTTCAAAGAGCCGGTTCTAAGAGTCATTTCGTTCGCGACGGACCCATAACCATGGATCTATTAAAATGACAAATAGCAAATATACGGCCAATATAGTCACTTTAGAACAGACCAATAGAAAACAGTCTGTTTATGTGCGGGAGCTACAGCAGCTAACCCATAACAAATGACAAAAACTAGCTTCAGAGTCGACATATTTCCAACACTCACCGTTCATACAGGCTCCTCCTCACATCACAAATCTGCACTAATAAATGTCCTTTTAATCCAGACTCAAACCGATTGTCCATAAAAAGAATATGATCTCAGTGTTTGGATCTGTGTCTGCAGGTGTAAACAAACACACGTGAGTGACGCGACTCTGTGGTGTGTTCAGGGACAGTATGGACACACACAGACAAATGACTCCGTAGATAAATACTGATGTGGAGCCACATATTAGGACATTTATCTGTCTGTAAATTGAACAGAATGTAGAGAGTCTAAGCTTTATAACGAGGTATAACATGCCCACGTGAAATATCGGCCCCTATCAGCAAGCATATCGGCTGATAGCCGATATGCCTAAAGTTGCCCATATCAGCCGATAATATCGGCCAGCCGATAATATCGGCCAACCGATATATCGGTCGGGCTCTACTTCATACTCTTTGTTACATGCCACGGGAGCCTAGGAGGTGGCACGGTAACTGAAAAAGATGTTAAAATGAACCGGGTGTGGAACAAAACGGGAAGCGTGGCGAGGTGAAAAAAGAAGGGTATTTATTACAAAAAAAGAAGTGCTAACAAAGTGTACAAAAAATAGATACGGGTAACACAAAAATAAACAACTAAGGAAAGCTGCAGCGGAGGACCCACTGGTCACTCTTCTTGGGTTGGCTCCTGCTTTTATACCCCCGCTGATCAGGCGGACCAGGTGAGGCTGATTAGCTGGGCGGATCCGGGGTGGGTGGATCTGAGGTGGGGTGAGGCAAGGTAAAATAAAACGAGGATGGCATCCGTCACACTCTTCTTAACAATAATCATAATTATAATGCTTTAAACTGCTTACTGGTTATTAGTAACATATTGGAACAAATAAATCATTTCTCTTCATAACTTGCTTTACACACAAAATTAATCTTAATTGATTTGTGTGTATATATGTACATGTATATATGTGTATATATATATATATATATATATATATATATATATATATATATATATAAAGGCCACAATAAAAGAGCATATTCTACTAGAGTTAATAAGCCACGGTGGGAATAGGTGAATGCAGGTTGCTCTAGATTAGACTCCTAACATTCATCATCTGATTGTTTCTTGCTCTATTTATGTCAACTTGTCCAAATATTACAAGTAGTGAATTCTTCTTTGGGTCCCATCTTGCTTTATGTTGTCATGGATACGCTTTTGGTAAGTACATGTATTAAAACAGTAATCATTAACTAGTGTTGTCTTCTTTTTTCCTGGGAGAATCTATCAAAAATAAACTGTGTGATGACAAATTGACTACGATAGCTGGACAAAGGGGGTTTAGTAAAACATGTCTCAATTTTGATAACATGTGTTGAAATCATAATTATAGTTTTTTTTGTTTTATTATTAGGAATATTTAGATTTTTGTGAAAAGCTTTTATCTACAATTGTTATTTTTCTTCTCTTTTGTTCCAGAAAGCAGTGTTCACGAAGGAAGCAACGAGAATGATGGCAGCATCTGTGGCAGTGAAGCCGCCTTCTACAAACAAAGTGAAGGTGAGAGAGATGCATTCTGGGTAATCTCTGCTGCAATTAGATTTGACATTTGTATTTTCCAATGCTTTAAGTGCATTATTTAACATTTTATCTGTTTGGTAGTGTTTATGTTTGACAACTATAATCAATGCTGTAACAAGTCTGGGTACAAAAGGTGCGTTGGGTAAGGCCAGTATTACATTTAAAGGCAAGCATTAAAACACTTTATTAAAATGCATACAAGCCAATATGCATTTAATAGCTTACTATAAATAAACGGAAGCACTCACATTTAATTGCGTCCTCCTGGCCAGCACTTTTGGACCATTACATCTGTGCTGTTTGTAGTTTCACCCACAAACGCATGTGCAAACAGTTTGATTTGATCACTTAACAACATGCCTAATTCAATTTGCTCACTGATAATTATGTTTATACAATGGGCAGATCTGCCACTCATGTCTCTGCCAACATGCAAATTCCGTCTGTGTTTGGGACATGTAATAGATTGTGGGTTCGTCTGCCAGGGATCAGATAAAGCAATTCATTTAATATTGACACAGCAAAACACTGGTTGTTGTGGAGTGTTTTGAATATTATTTTACAATTTAAATCAAATTCCCTTCATTCCCTTGTTTCTAGAGATTGACAGATTAGTCTGACATGTGACGCCCCTCTGGTCAGATTACATCTCCAAAAGTGTTTGCACTGGTGCCTTGATTTGATTAAATAATGTAACATTGAACACTGCAAAGCTGAACCATATGAATAATTCATACGGTTTGAGACTTGTGAGTTTGACTGAATAAATCAGGCACTGACAGGTGAAGGAAACTGTTGTCAGAATCAAGGACGCTCTTTATTTGCTAATTAAATTTTAGCAATAATGTTCAAGATGTCTAAGTGTCAACAAACAAAACATGAGTTTGTTATGAATTGCAAGTTATAAATAGGTCTGGGGATTGTTGACAAAACAGTGTGTGTAAAGAAGAGGACTAAGTGTGTGTGTGGGCTCTTTGAGCGGTTATGGGGGCGAATCATAGCAACCAAAGAGCCAATCCTGAACAAGGCTGTCGAAGGTAACACCCCTTCCTACCTGCACTGTTTAGCATGGAGCAGACGCTTGGCAACGGTGTCAATCAAACCTGTTACTAAAGCTAATTGGAGCAGCCTGTTTTTGGTCTATTGGTTATTAATGTTTATATCTTGATTTGTGAAAAAAATAGCAACATACAAACACCAGGATCACATAGAGCTAGTTAATACGACAAATTTAAACCAAAATGACTAGTTTGATAGCAGTTACAGAGAGAGGGTTTTTGCAATAGAAAGTGAATTGGAATTAGAGTCGATGGAGCCTGAAGCATGCCCATGCTCACTTCCTGTATGGCACATTGCAGCTAAGAGGTTCGCTATGTCCATTTATATATACAGTCTATGTGAATACACTGTATGTATCTATAGAACAGAAAAAGCTGCCAACCAAGTACTGGAGAGACATTGTAGTAAATACAAAATGTACTTTGATATAAATTAAGAGAATGAGTCCAGAACAGCACTATTGAGAAGATGGGGGAACAACATATTCTTTGAGAAAGAACCCAAGAAACACTATTATGGCTTAGTTTTTGAGTCAAATTATGGACTTAGCATGTTGTTACACTGCCCTGTATATATACAGTGGAGCCATATTACATTATAAGGAGTGTGTGACTGAATATTGACCTTATCCTTCTGGTTGTTTCTGCTCCTCCAGGACACAGCATGGCAGAGACGCTCACAGTCGCCCTGCGTGTGGCTGAGGAGGCCATAGAGGAAGCCATCGCTAAAGCAGAGGAGTTCAGTGACAGTTTGGTGAGACTGTTTTTCCAATGTAATCCTACTACTACTTCCCACGCTAGTCTCAATAGCAGCAGGAGGCATTCACAGTTTTATTCATTTATATGTGTGTTTGTGTGTACAGGAAAAGCAGAATGAAGCTCGCTACCTACGTGATCACAAAGAAGAACTCATAGAGGAACTTGCCACAACTATTGTACAAAAAGTAGGTCGACCCGCTAAAGTAAAACACCTTTAACTTTGGCTACCATTCATCTTTACTCCCTGGAAGGTGCATTGTTTTAGAGCAAGTATAAAATCTTTGAAAGGTATGATTTATGTTCAAATAGTAATGGGCTAAAATAGGGATAGTGTTTTTGGTATCTTTCAAACCTTATTTGGCTGTATTTGTTTGCTGAAATGTGTTTTTTTATTTCCATATTTATTGCTGTATAATTTTAAAACTCAATTAGGAATGGATTTACCCGTTAAAATTTCATTACACCAAATTATTCACACTTTGAACAAGAAACACTGGGATATTATCTTCCAATTTGCAATATTTTTCTATATTAGTTTGAACATCAACCGTATTTATGTTTTTTCTTTATTGCGGTGTTTCTCAGATTATACAGAGGAGGAAGCGCTCAGAGATGCAGACAGAGTATGATACTGCATGGCCACAGCCTCAGTCCTTGATCCAGACCAGTGAACTGCCTTCTCCATCTTTGCCCCAGACGTCTTCACAGGGACCCCAAGACCCCCTACGAGCCCCCTACTCTCTCTGGGTAGGTCTGAGAAACTTTGTATATGTACGGTGCTCTCTAAGTGGCCATCTAATGTTCCAAACTGACACTGACAATAGCAATAAAACATAAGTGCACTAATTAAATGATGGGTCAAATGCAGGTCACACATTTCTCTATAGAGATAATCTATCTTTGTAATTTTGCTAACAGATGTGCTGCTAATTAGTAATTTCTATATGGTCCATTACCCACTGTTGCAGCAAAAGGAAAAAGCATCTAAAGAGAAAGTGAAAGAAGTAGATCCCTTAGAGAAAATCCTCTGTGTATTTCATACCGTACTGTTATTTAAAACTTCTAAAACAAGAAATGGCTAAGCTTATAGGTAACTAACAAGCCTGAATAAATCATAATATGGGACCTCTTAAGTTTTCTGTTTTGCAGTTGTGATCGTGGGCGTAAGTCTGAGGAGCATATGTTTGAATAGTTGTTTGCCGACTCAGTTCCTCTCATAACAGTCCGTATTATGTTCTGTCTGTGGTATGCTACACAGGACAGGCTCTTTAAAACCACAGTCATGTTGTATTTGGCCTCAAGTCTCTTTCCAGCAGAGTTAGGTCACATGTCTGGTCAAAATACTGGCCATTTTACTTTTTGGTCTTTTTATATTGTGGACATAAACTAGTTTTGAAGATGTTGCAACAAACAATCTCTTCCAGGCTCACACGCATGGCCTATATCGTAACTACAAGAGGATTAGGGTAATTGGTGAATTCCACATAGCACACACAATTAAACCCAGATTTAACCCATAGCAAGTTACCTGTACCCAGCCAATGGTGAAAAGAGTACTGAAAATTTATACTGAAGTAACAGTACAGGTACAAGGCTAAAAATGTACTCAATTACTGCTGCCAAATTTGTACTTAAGTAAAAGTATAAGTAAAAGTACTTAAAAAATATACTCAAAGTACTAGTTACTTTTTGATTACGTAGCCAAAGAAATTGATTATGGCAATCAACCATCCACATATTTTTTTTAAAGTCCAGCCAATCAAAGCTGTGCTGTTATGTGTGTTTGTGAGTATAGAGAAACAGATACAGTAGTGAGAACACTGTGCACTGAACGACTGCGGCTGTACTCAGTAACTTCTTTAATTTGATGTTAATTTAATTACATGATTACAATTATACTCAATTATCTAGAACTAGTACCCATCTAAAAATCAAAAAAGCCCTACACCAAAAATCTACTCAAATACAGCAACATGAGTATTTGTAGTAAGTTACTTTCTGCCTCTTGTATTGAATCATGCTCTTTTAATAATCTCTACCATAATCCCTGCTTGGCTCTCACACAGAAGCACTGCCTCTTGCTCTATTATAGAGTATCAGTGTTCTTCACCTGGCACTCCCACAACAGCCCTGCAGGGGGTCGTACACATTTGTCATCATCGCAAATGTGAATGAAACATCAAAGCTGTTCTTTTGGCCCCCTCCACTCACTCTCCCCAAGTGCCGCTCCATAATGATCAAAGTTCTGTGAAAAACACTGGGATCCCCTCTGCAGCGGTGGGACAGACGTGTGTTATCAGCTCTATGCAAACACTCAGAACACATGCAAGTGCTGTAGTGGGGCTGGAGAGAGGGATTACGGCTACATCTTATTTACAACCAACACACTCTGAACATGAGCAATGTGTGTGTAATATTAATGTGGTTTTAATTAAACAAACGTCTATTTTTGAGTGGAAAATGTGTACGTCAGTGTCTGTGTGTATTTTTATTGTGTGTTGTGGGGGTTGGAATAATGTTTTTCTCTTTGGATTCAAAAAGATTTCTGTGTAATCTGTCATCCAGGTAGAGTCCATAGCCAATGAAAAGTTAAATTCTGTCAACTGGATAAAAGTTCTCTCACCAGAAATTACCTTTTGCTTTTGCTTTTGACTCAAAATATGTTTTTATCCTTGTTGAAATGTATGTATTGTTTCAACAAACTTACTCAAACATTTGTTTAAGTAAGTTTAGAGTAGTTTTGAGTAAGATTAGAAAAAATTGAGACAGAATTGAAACTGACTGTCCATTATGTTGTGCTATGGCTCCACCTGCTGGTAAACATCTCAAAACACAGGAACGCAATCAAGTCTATATATTCTATATATTCTCTGTATTTATTGTGTTCTGTGCCACTTTTTACAACGTTTACAACTTAATAAGTTAAATGTTTGCATGTACACATGTGACTTTGTCATGCATTCTAACTTCAACTTTCTGTGTTTTCTTTATTCCTGCAGCGTTCGCGGTCTGCATTCTCTCTCACCAGTGACGACTCTCCAGATAAGGGTCCTGAGGAGGAGGGTGCCGGAGTGGGGGCAGGTCTGCAGGAGTACTCATCTCTAAAGAGGGAGGGCAAGGCCACCTCTTTACCCAGCTGGAAGAGCGTTGACCGACTGGACAACTCCAGTATGTCTACAGCATTCAATAAAATAATTTTGTATGTACATTTTACCAGAAAGGCCTGTTTTCAACCTTGTGAAAATAATCAAACCAATTACCTTTACCTTCCATCCAGTTCAGTGTGTTAGAATTGGACCTGGTGTGGACATTATATGACTAAAGTTAAACATACAGGTTAAAACTTGTTGATTTTGTACTATTTAAACCAATTTTACCCTGGATTTATTGGCTCTATTTTTCCAGGTGCATCGTCAGTTCTCCAAAGCCCAGACGGTAATTGGATTGCACTGCATAGCTCTCAACTGTCCCGGCCCAGTCTGCTCACTAAGAGGAAGAGCCTTGTGTTCAGCGTTTTAGAGAAAGAATCAGGAGTGGTCTCCGCTTACGACGAAATGGGCTCTGACTCGGAGGTAGATGATGAGGGGGGCTGGGGCGCTGCTCTGCAACAGTTCAGGAGAAAACTTTCAGATGAAACTTACTACACGGACTCTCAGCACGACCCGGAGTGGACTTATACGCACCATCATCCCATCACTTCTCCTTCCTCGGGACAGTACACCAACACAGAGACACTAAACTCGGACTCAGAGGCATCTTCTGTGCTTTCGGCATATCCACGGAAACCACCACACAACTTGATGAAAAAGAGAGGCCCAGTGGACACTCACCTGCACCCGCATCACCCATCTGTCTACCACCAACACATGCACTACAACCCATATGCACTGCACTCAGAGGCCCTGGATGTTAATTTTAACCCTAAGGTCAGTTAATCTGCAGTTTATGTGAATATTTAAAGATTGCTCAAGTGTAATATTCTGGTGATAATGTTATGTGTCTGTCTAAATAAGAGATCCTCATATGTAATCTGCAAAGGTCTTTTCGGTTTGTTTTCTATTCACTTTTATGTAGTATTATATTTGACTCACAATTTTACAAATATTCATGATTACTGAAAATGCTGCCTTGTTTATACTACTCCGGTGCTATGTTATTCAATTTTACCGTCATTCAGTCTTAATATTGTTACTGGTACTACAGTTTATAATTGTATGCTTGATTGGATTGTTTTCTAAATGTCAGTTTAAAGTAATCTGTAAAAATGTTTGATTCTTAGGTGATGGGGGACAGCAGTGAAGCAGATGAACGGCAGAATGATCCCATCAAAAGATCCCGACGACGAAGGAGAAGCAAAAAAGAGTCTTCATCAGAGCAGAGAACTGGAGGCCAAAGTCACGCACAGTCTATCTACCCACTAGCCCAGGTAACAGCTCATCATTATCATATATAATACTGGCATTATTGGTGATTGGTGATTATAAATAATATTGTGTAGTGCATAAGTGGTATAGTGAGAAGAGCTTTCTGAGAATGATCTGGTAGGTTAAGTTTGTGAGTTAGTTTTCTCCAGATGTTCCTTATTGATACCTATATATCTACATAGAAATCACATTATCTTTTTATATAACCTTATACAGTATTATCAATATTATAAGTAAATTTATGTATGGATCTGAATTTTAATTCTTGGCAACTAAAGGCCGCCACACACTACAGGATTTTTCAGTCTGAAATTATTTTTAAACGCGCAACAAAAAGTGCACACCACAGACATAAGGAGAATCGTGTGAGATTTTAAATCTCTGATTGCAAAAACTGCAGCGGAATATGGCTGAATATCCACAGGTTACAAAGTTAAAAGTGCATCTTGCGACAGCTGTTTCCTGTCTAGAGTAAAACTACTCATTTTGAGACTCGTCAGTGTTCAAAAGATCAGAGCACTGTACTTCTAGATTAGATACAAGACAAAACTGTGCTATTATTTGTGAAATGTGGTGCATCACTATAGCTACAGCTATAGTGATGCACCACATTATAGCTGCAGCTTCACCCCAATCTGTGAGCTGTGTGGATGTAAACAGACACGCGAGGAACTACTCTCATCTTTTTACTTTTAAAGAACACTTCAAATTGGATTAATAGTGCGGTTTTGCGGATTGGATGTCATTATTTGTGGAGGACAAATTCTATGGATAATACGGATGAGATGCTGCAGTTTAAATTTACAGCTTTACGAAGGGTTAGTAATAATTAGTTTTGCTATTTCCTGAGGTTGTATCTTGCGCTTCTGTGTCTGTGATGTTTAGTAGTTACAATCTGACAGAACAGCTCAGAGTCACAAATCGCACACGAAGACACAAAGTCGGGTCATGCCTCCCTGAACTCGGGGAGAAGCAAATCATAGCAAAAATCAGGCAAATTCTCCTGGCTATTAGACTGTGTATAAGACTTCAAGTTTGAAAAAAAAATTATTTGTTTTTATAGGAGGATAGTGGATTCCTACTCAATGCCCTCCTGAAGCGTGGCTTAAGTGAAGAACACCCTGCATCTGAATTTTCCCCTGTGTCTACCACCGCTCCTGATGTGTTCAGATCAGACCCAATGACACCTGAAGACCCCGACACTGTAGCTCCTAACTCAGCTGTCCCCAGCCCCCCTTCCACCTTCATCACCTCTGGACCCCCCCTCGCTCCCAAAATGGCTGTCGTAGACCCCATTGAGGAAGAGTTACGATCCAGACTCAGCCAGCTGGTCAAACGTGCAAACAGTAAAGACAGCAACACATCTGAGGAGGAGAGTTCAAAGTGGGCATCTGAGAAAATAACTGAAAAAGACAGACAAAGGCAAAAGGACATGGAAAGTGAAATGTGGGATTTAGTCAATGGACAAGAAGTGCAAACAAATGAAAAACGATTAAAAAGCATGTCGTTTGGAGAGGAAGCAAAGGAGGACTCACAGTTGGACGGAGACAAGAGTTTAGAGGAAGTACCAGAGCATAAAATTAAAGAGAAAAGAGAAGTAAGCAGGCAAAGTAAGAAGCAACATAAACGTGATCTGGATAAGGACGCAGGGCACAGAGCTGCCGGGGACAGGAAGAGTGGATCTTCTAGTGCAAGTTCAGCTGCTGTGACTCCGTCTGCCCAGGAGGGGGCACTGTCAGGCAGTCAGGTGAGTAAAGATCAACGGCTTCCCTGTAGTTTATTCAGTGAATGTATATCTATTGCTTCTGTTGCTTCGTGTTCTTTTCTGTCTTAAATAATTACTCCATTGCTTGTATGCAGGGGTGGGCAGAGTAGACAAAAACTGTATCCAAGTAAGAGTACAGTTACTTCAAATTAATATTACTCAAGTAGAAGCATAAGATTGGGGTCTGAGAATTTATCCAACTAAGAGTAAAACAGTATTTGAGTAAACTTGAGAAATTAGAGTGAGTGATAAGCTAATTGTCTGGACATAAGAACTGTTTAAGAATCTGTAGTTAATGTACTGGAAATACAAATCATTAACTAATGCACACAAATCTTTTATTTTCAAAGGATACACAATAACAAGGAGAAAAACTAATGATATCTGATAGAGCAGTAGAAGACACACATTTTCACACATTACATAGTTCCTTAATGCTTGTACCACTTGTAGGGAACTATAACCAAAACCTTGAGTAAGAGTACGGTTGCACTGTAAACTATATCAATTAAGTAGAAATAAAGGTATAGTGTCTGAAATTTACTCAAAGAAGTAGAATTTTGGTATTTAAATAAATGTACTTGAGTAAATGTAATTCAGTACTACCCACCTCTGCTGGTCAGTTCAGTCTGTGCTTTTACTCTGTGTGGCTCATAGGTGTTTCTTTGTCCTATGTCTTTCTTCTTTTGGCTGCGCTGTGTCTGTGTGTATGTTATGTGTCAGGAAGGACAGTATGACTTGGAAACACAGCAGAAGGCTTCGGTTGCTCAACTCCCTCTTACATCAGGTGAGATCAAACAACCATGATGCATTGTGGGAAGTTCGGAGCCCCAGTTTAAAGTCATCTCATCTCCCAAAACCAAACTAACCCATACAGATTCAGTCTTAACTTATATGGGGTATTATGCAAAGATTTTAATGTCATTCATGATCAAGTAATTTTGCGATCGCTCCCACACTATTCAAACCCTCCTTGTGATTAGCAGTACTAGTCTGTCCAAGACTCAGCCCACAAGCCTACTTCACCCATGCTCCTGCATGGCAATTTCCATAAATATACATAAGCATGAGTACAATATAGAGCGTCAAAAACATAACTTAAACATATTTAACATTTTGTCAATACACCACGAAAATAGATTCCACATTAAAGGTGCATTGTAACTGGTTGAGGGTCCTGCTTTTCTCCATAAAGCAGTTATAGCTTTGTCTGGAGTATTTCACAGTATGGCATTAGACCTTTCATCATGGAGACCCAACCAGGCCAAGTTACCAGTCATATCTGTGGTGTGGCAACCCTACTCACAGTCAGAAAGTTTGTTTTTGAGTAATAAAACCAGCTGTAATTGAGTAAGGTAAGGTTTAATGTCATACTGTGGAACATTCCAAGCAGAGCAATAACATTTCCATAGAAATAAGAAGGTGACTGACCCCCAACTGAAAAGTTACATAGTGCACCTTTAATGTAATTGAGCTCCAAGTAATATTGCAAAATATCTGTATTGATCATTTTTTTGGCAGGTGAGTAAAAAGCTATATAGTTATCATAACAGCCAGGATTACTGCTTTTTGTACCAGTAAATTAATTTTTTGTGTACTAACTGAATACTGTAAACTGTAGGGTATGATTTCAAACAGCATAAAAAACAAAAGACCAGCCGTCCTTTCAATTGTAAGACAAATAAAGAGAACGATACTTGAATAAAACTGTGAAAAGGGGGACTTTATTTGTGACTTTTTAGCTTTTAAAGTTTCCATAGCAACAGCTTTTAATACGACCACTATTTACAAAGGAGTAACATTGTCCTTTTACTAACTTTTTAATTATTATTTTTTATGTACAAAAGCAGGTTTGTCTCTTGGGAGGTGGACTGTAACAGATTGGTTCACCCTCCTGGCCTTTCTATTCTTTTTGATACTCTCACATCCAGAACTTGGTGTAATTCATCTTTAGACTGTTTGTAAGGTAGAGATGGGTAAATAGACCATAAATGGACATACCCAACCCGCTAGCCGCAACATTCCAAATAAGAAGTGAGTGTAGAGGTGCTTCCGGCTCCATTAACTCTTGACTTTACATTGAAAAACTGTCTCCCCTCCCTCTGTAACTGCTGCTGCTAGGCTTGTCATTTTGGTCTTAAAATGTCTGTATTAACTGGTATTAACTCGCTCTACATGATCCTGGTGTTTGTATTTTGCTATTTTGTCCATAAATAAATTATAATAAATAATAAATTATAAATTCCTAAAATGAAACTCTGCTCTAAATTTGCTCCTATAACTACTTGCCTCATGAGCTTATTTGACTGGAGTCGAACACCATGGGTGACGTCACACTCCCTTTATTATATATTACTATTATCATCATGCTTATCAGTTAATCTTGACATCTCATCCACAGATCTTTAAATCTCCTACAACTGACCAATGTGCAATGTCTGTCAATCTGACATATAAAAATTGTAAGTGTATGAGTAGAATCAAAGAAAGTCTAATTTTACGTTATATCCATCCATACCCATGGAATTTAGAATGATGAAAAACATTGCTGTTACCATAGCAATTAACAATTCAAAACAAAAAATGTATTTTTTCAATGGTCAAAAGTCCTCAGAATGTCACCTATAAATTGGAAGTTGAATGAATTGATTGTGAATATATAAAGCATATATTATACGGTTTCAAGGACAGCAGGGTGCACAAAATTATATAGCTTCCCCATCCAGTCCCCAGCAAATCTTTCAAATGGACGTCATTTCTTTTTCGGGTTAAGTCACTGGGTGGTCTGCACGTGTGAACATCACCCTGAGGTGTGTGAATGCTGTCACTTATTAGCTCCATTCAGCCCATCAAAGGGGTGTCCATGAGTAATACCTGTCACTGATATATGTTCCACTGCTCTCTGTTTCCTTGTTGTAATTATAGATGTATGGCTGTTGGGAACATAATTATAATAGCATTGTAGCATTTTCTACTCCATTCATACCATTTTATATATTTTCTAATTATAAAGACTGGTGGTGTCAGACGTTTGATCTACATGCTGATGGCTCTTTTGAGTGGCTGACTCAAGCTCTTAAAACATCCATTTCTCCATCGACCCGTCTTAAGTCAATATTGCAGGAGTCCTTTCTGTCTCATATTTAGTCTTGTACCCATTAAGACTATTACTTTAACAAGCAGAGTTTTGTTTTGCACCCTCTTATCTCTGCCCTAATAGTGCATTTCATTTAAACCAAAGCGCCCCTCCTGCCCCCGATTCATGTTACACATCCTCTGCCTTCACACTAAGAGCAATCAATGCACCTTCAAAGCCTTTAATCAAAGAGTAGATAGACACTTTTTCCATGCCTTAATCACACGCCTGTGTCTAGTCAGTTATAAATGTTTTTCCAAAATTAAAGTTATTTGAGGTAACTTGGCAGTATGGATAATGTTTCTGTTATTATTTGTACTTCTACTATTACTAATACTATGACTTGCCTTTTACTTTTACTGCTATCTTACTACTACTACTACTACTACTACTACTACTACTACTACTACTACTACTACTACACAGTATCAAAGACATTGCCATTTTTTACCACCTTCTTGTTAGCAACTGCAATGCTAAAGAAAATACTTCAGCTTTTATGTGTTAAACTAATTGTTTCCTCTGCTGGATTTTCATATTCCATAAAATAACTTTTACAAAATTAACTAATGTTATTGTTAACATATTTTTATATTGAGCCACACATGGATCGTTAAGGGTTCACACTGTTGACGGTTGCATGCTCTAATTGCAGAAATACTCAGCGGCCTCCCTGTGCAGTATCACTACGGAGGTCCTGAAGGTTTTGAATGCCACAGAGGAGCTGATCGGAGAGGCTGGAGGCGAGGGCTACACCCCCACTGAATCTGTGTCCCCCATCTCCAACAGCTCAGAGACACGCCGGCTGGACCAGAGGCTCACCAAGATGGAGGAGAATGTAAGGAATGGCTAAACTCGAATGAATGAATGTTTAATCAGACAGTAATACATAGAACATAAATAAAAAACGTAAATACATAGATATAACACAAAAAGTTAATATTTCTATTCTATAATAACAGGCAAAATAAATGTTATGTCGAATTTTCCTTCTGTCCGAAAAAGGAGTGGGAGGAAGTAAATATTTATTTAACCTCACCCCTTTTTTTTCTACCATCCCAAATTAACAAAGAACACATATAGACTTCTCATTTCCTGTACAATACAAGCAATAATTGCACAGTACACACATTGCATTACAAATCTAACAACAACAACAAATATATGTATATTATGTGCACAGGTATAGTACACATCATATACACAGATATAATATATACATACCTACATACACATTATATACACATATACATACCCATGCATACCTATATATACACTCATATACATACACATACATATACATGCACACATATACACTAAGCGCTAATTTCTTCAGCACAGTATTTTGAAATAATAAATTTTTTAACTGCCCTTTTGAATTGAATTTTGAACTTAGAACTTAGACAAATTTTATTGAGCCACAAGGGAAATTATTTGGACAGAGTAGCTCACAATATAATATAATGACAAAGAGAAAAAATATTTAGAATTAATTATTACTATTTATAAGTAGCAAAAATTATAGCAAGAGTCAGGTGTCAAATGAGACATTATTATGTAAATGTATTTGTGCTAGTCAAAATTAAATGGAACAATAAGTAATAAAATATAAAATCTCAGCTATATACAAGAGGTAATAGGAAAACAGCGCAACAATGATATACTTATTTACAGGACATAGGGTTATCAGTTACATAAGGGTGAGTTGTTGTACATCTGTATGGAGTATAGTATGTATGTAGTATTATTTAATATTAATATATTGTATTAAATGTCATTGGAGGATCATGCTCGTTTCCATAGAAATGTTACTTCTTTACTGGGATGTTCCACAGTAAGACATAAAGCCTACCTATCTCCATGGAGACAAGCAGGTGACAACACCAGGTTATCAAGTTACAGGTGAGATCTGTATGAGGTGACCCCACTCACAGTAAAAAATAGTTTTTCTAAGGCATTTTAATAATAATTGAATGTGATTGAATAAATTCCAGATAGATATATTTAATGCCAAACTATTGAATAGGCAAAAACAATTATGGCAAAAACAATAATAATAAACAGTACATGGAAACCCTCACTACAAAAGTTACATAGTGTATCCTTAAGCAAATCTAATCCACTGTCCATCCCAACCCCCTTTAAACCACAAGTTCCAGTTCAAATTGTTCTTGAAATAAGCCCACTGCTATGTACTGGTTTGGCGTGCATCTGTGCCATTTAAAGGGCCTATATCACAACACTGATCTATGTTATAATGTTTTTTCCTCATGAAAAACATGCCCGTTTGTTCACACATGTTTAATACCCAAATTCTGCATATTTAAGATGAGTTTTTCTCTCAATCAGACACTCCAACATGTGATGCCATGTGGTGATACAGGAAGTTCTCCAATGTATTTTAAACTCCTTCACTAGAATTATTTTGAGAGTTCCATCCCTGCAAATCTCTACTGAAAATAAGGTGAAAAGTAGCTGTTAACTTGAAAACTACCACTACATGACATGAGATGCAACAGACTAATTATTCAGAATTACTCAAACGTGTGTGAATGAAACAAAACACAACTGTGGGTATATTTTTGATGAGGTAACAACATTTTAACATGGCAAAAGTCAAACGTGTGTAATGTAAGACTTTTAATATTATGAATCAAATAACATCCAACAGTTTGCATTAAAAAAAAACATAACATCTGGTGTGTTCTATGAGCAGGTGTACCTGGCTGCTGGTGCAGTGTACAGCCTGGAGGGGGCACTAGGTGATCTAGAGCAGTGTGCACGCGACATCAGCCGTGGAACGTCTGACACAGAGCTGGCTTTTCTGGAGGATCAGGTGGCCACAGCAGCAGCTCAGGTCCAGCAGTCAGAGCTACAGGTAAAATCATATATGAAAGGTTCTGAGAGCAGCAAATACTATGATTCAGTGCTATACTATAACTTTTCACTGCTTGGCCCAAGTTTCATTGGTCATTATTAAGTCAAATGTTTATTTTCAGATCTCAAATATTGAAGCCAGAATATCAGCACTGAAAACAGCTGGGTTGAATGTAACTGTCTGCAATCGCTTCTCAAAGTTCAAGCCAAAACCTAAGGTACAATGTGTAGTACATATGTCTATGTAAAAAGTAAATAAGAGACACATCTTTAGACAAATATAGTGATAACTTAGAATGTAATGTATTTAATATTATATCATTTTATCTATATATTTTTTCTTTTCAGCCTCAAACTCTAGATACGTCTCGTCACCAGAGAAGAAAGCTTCCTGCCCCTCCGCTTAAAGGTATTGATTTAACTAGAGTCCATGTTGTAACCTTATCAATTATACTCTATCACACCTAAGTGTATTGGTGTCTCAGACTAAGACTGACACACAGGAGCTGAAAAGGGGACATTCTTTGTCCTAAAATAAGATGGTGAATAGATGATAAAAGTGAATACATCTGCTAGAAAGGACTAAAAAGCTCCATTAGATGTAAAGCTGCTAAATGGACACACGGCGTACAGAAAGATAAGGCTTTATCAATCAACAAGTAGCCCCATCTTTTCACAGACATGAATAGTCTTATTCTGTTGAGGCCTTCTTTATTTTCTTTTTATATCTCTTCCCAGAGCCATGTTCAGCACAATGCCTCTGATTCATGGGGCCTTTTTAGATCAGCCAAACTGGACAATGGCGTCAAATCAGTGACCAAGACATGTAATCACAACGGTCATCATCAAGGTTTGAGTTTCAGATAGAGAGGATAACCCTGCATTTCATACTGTATACATATTAGTGAACAAGTTTCCCATTATATTCTAACACGTTATAAGCATAATGGTTACCGTTATTGGTCAGTAATGCTGTGTTTTACTAATGAGATACTGCCAAGGACACTACACTCCAGATGCAGGGTGCTAACAAGATTAGCTTTGATGGCATCTTAACCATGTGAAATACAGTGTTGTCATCTCTCAGTCTGGCATTTACTTTACCTGGTTAATGCCAGATTGATGTGTGCAGCACACTGAATTAAGTTGTACATATTATCAGGCTCCGGCTGAAAACTGAATCTGATTGGTCCAAGTGTCACTAAAGGGGAGCCAAGATATTTTGTTGAATGCAGTTGAGGAAAAGACGCACAGACATCTTGCTTGCCTAAAATAGATTTTGGATGTCGCCATGTTTGTTTTGGTTTGTTTGGGCGCTTTACCTCTGGCTTCCGCCCAAACCACAGTGCTGACTGATGGATTCTCGTGAGTTTGTGAACAAATATCACAAGAATTAATCTTGCAGGCCTGCTTAGCTATTACTCCTAAACCAAAGAATTGTATTCCGTGGGAGCTATGGTCTTGATAGAGGGCAGCACTTCATGTTTTTTTACAGTTATTATGACATATGTTTGTTTTGTTTTTCAGATAAATCTGAGTCGGAGCAGGAAGTTTTTGATCCACAGTGAAAGCACAGCCCACAGACAGGGGCTCCTTCAGTGCCTTGACTCAACCTCCGTCCTCGGACCCTCTGACCCTCACACTATTAGACCCTTGGCCCCTCAGACCCTCAGATGGGCCCTCGGACCTTCCGACGCTCAGACCCTTGGACCCTCGGACCCTCAGACCCTCAGCTTCACCCCACACTGTTCTCAGAGCCCGGGCTTTCACAACAGCCTTCACAGACACACAGTCCACTCTCTCAGTTGAATGCAGATATGACTGGATGTTTGGTGTCTGCCTTAAAATCAAAAACTGTACAGACAACAAACTAGCATTTCCCTTTTCTATCTGTTTACAAGAGTATTGTGATTAAATGTACAATGAAAATATGGAAAATATAACTTTTTTTTTGTGAACCCTTTTCCCTAAAGAGCCCCATAGTGTTTTAAATCTTTTTTTCACAAAATCTTTAGAGCCATATTAGTGTCACTTATTCAGTTAATTTGAGCTGCCAAAAACATGTATTCATTACAGAAAATATATTACTGTAACAATCCCATAAACCTTTTCCAGTTACTATAATTCCTGGATAATTATTGCAAATGCAAAAGCACATTGTAGGCTGAGAAAACATGAATTTGTATTGCAGTTAAATTGGAAATATATACAAATGTCCATATGTTTTAGTTCATGCCTTGGTCAGTATTCTTGAACCTAATCCTCCTATTTTCATTTCAACTTTGTGGCCTTTTATTTGAAAAAAAGTATTTTTTCATGTGTTCAAAAATAGTGTAATTTGAAATCTTTATATCAAATGCCATATTATCATGATTTTGTTACAAGCAATTTATTTTTGTATTTTAAGAGCTGTTTTTATGCAATATCACTGAAATAATTACTATTGCAAATTATTATTAATGGCTTTGTATTTCCTCAAAGCAGCCATCTCTGTACGGTCTCAAGTGCATTCTGTTTTCTGTGATGAAGGCCATAAAAGCAGTATGTATAATTATCATATTTTTTTTATTTTAGTAGAAACACTTTTTGATTTCTTGTATTTTTGGGTTAGTTTGACCACTTTAACCATAAATAATTATCCAGTGTGGGAGCAAGGTTGTCTTGTTTGGACTGCTTTGTTGATCCCATTTTTAAAAGTGTGGTGTATAAAAGTTAGCATGTTTCAAATTTGTGTATAAAGTGTCATATGAGAGGCACAAGGGTCCAATCATCAGTGTCCAGTATTTTTATAAGAGAAAATATATAATATGTTTGTTAATATATGTATATGTGTGAAAAAGATGGATATGATGTTATATAGTGTGTGTATGCCAATCATATTTGACTAATCTTACAGTGTTGTGAGCAAGAGATTGTCATAAATGTCTTGATAAGTCTGGATTCACACAGGATTTTTAAATGTATAGGATCCTGTTTAAGTCCACGTTTTTGATGACTTTGACTGTAGAATGGAGAGGTGTTCACTTCATTCACTTTTATGTGCAATTGTTTGAAATGTGGGAAATTAACAACAAGCAAAAAATACTATGTGCCACAGAAAATTAATAAAATTTGCAAGCCTATCTTAATGTCTGTTGTGTGTAGAATAACACATCTGATTCACTTTGTAGTTTATTAATCAATATAGATAGATTTTATATACAGGTTCATTTCAAGCAACAATATGTTAAAGCTAAAGCAAAGGTACAAAATACTCAGTAGTCAGTATGAATGGAAGAAGAAGAAGATGTTGTCATGGCAGCCAGTCCTGGTCGTCTGCGTCTAATGGGACATTGCGGAGCTGGTCCTTGGTCTTCAGGCTGTTGAGGAGCAGCTCTAGAGTCCGGAGCACAGGCTGTATGTCCCGGCTGCTCAGATCGACTTCCACACTGTGTCTCTTCCCAAACCGACCTATGGGTCTCACCCCACGCCCCACGTACCAGAAGGGATCAATCTCTGGACCTGAGAAACCAAACAAGATTACTTTTCAAAAAGCTCAATTAGGAACAAAAAAGTCACTAATACAAGGGGTTTTTTTTTTAATGTAAAGAACCAAGTGCACATTGTGCAGTATTGGAAAAAAAGATATGGCTAGATAGATAAGATATTTATTTGAATAGTCACCAGACAAATCTCTCTTTTTGTTGCCACTGATTTAATCCTGTTATCCCATCCAATAGGCTTTAAAGGCTTTTAAGGCTTTAGGCTTAATTTAATTTAATATAGTCTTTTTGTTTTTAAATTCCCATAAAATTCATACCAGCTGCTCATTTAAAAAGTTCAATTTAAGAAGTGAAATTATAAATCTCGATTTGTGGTAACTCAAAGGCAGAACTATCAAGTTATGTATATATGTAAATAGTCTTAATCAAATCCAAAGTATTAAGCTCTCCTCACTCCTGTTGTCCACATTGTGGACTATGTGGAAGTCGTGCTCTACGGTGGTGCTGTGCGCGCTGCTGAGGCGCGTGGAGAGCAGCAGAGCCAGAGCAGCGGGCAGCCAGCGGCTCGTCAGGACGCTCTGCCGGACATCAGCCGCTCTCCGGGGCAGCATGCTGTGTGGACTCGCTCAAGGCACTGGAAACAATGAGACAGACCCGTGAGTGAAAGCTACACGCGCTACATGCTCATGCCTAATGATGGATATTAGATTCAATTCCAAAAGTCTAAAATAATCTGATACAAAAGTAGGAAATTGGAAAATGAATGCCATATGCAACTTCATAATCATGCAATAAACTTTTCTGCAAGTGTAGCCTAGGTTTGGTTTAAATTTAAATGGATCAAAATCCATAAATAAAGTTTTGTTGCAGTATGTCCATAAACATACTGCATCTGACAACAATTAAGGCAGTGTGACCGAAATATTAGATGCAGACAAAGAAAACGTGTGCTTACAGAGAAAATGTTTAACTTTTTGCCTGTTTTTAGTGTTGATAGGCTCAGTATATATTTTAAACATTAACCATACATAAACATTGGTGCATTTTACTACCATTTACGTCTTTTCCAGGTTTTAAAATAGTCTATATGTTTTTTTTGAATGTGATGATGTCACAAAATGCAACCTTTACAAAAAGTCGTTAGAGTATAATTGCACTTGAAATACATCTGAAGAATAAAATCCATGTTTCTCTCAGACGAATATGTGAGAATTGTCCATGTAACTAATCTGCACTATACAATTCTATGTTGATTGTTATAACATTTTATTGGCTAAATAAATTTTGTCCATGTCATAAGAAAAGTTTTAAATTTAAATCCTAGATATACAGCACAGGATCATGAAGTAATCCCATCATTCTATGTAGTCCTGTGTCTGAACATATTTACAAAGAAATCAAAAGAATGCTAAACAAAATGTGATGGAAATGAAGTCTCTTACCGTTTACTCTTTGCAGTGTGAGGTCAGGCGGCGTTGTTCAAGACGTTGGTGTGGAGCAGGTGTGTAAGACTTATATACCTGTATGCACGCACCACATCAGTCGAGATGATGAATCAAGAGCGTCAGTCACACTCACAGACCCAGGACTGGTCCCCTCCTCCTCCTCCTCCCCCCCTCATCCTCCTCCACTCTGAGCACACACAGACCTGACACGCCGCGCAGCCATCCATCAGGAAGGCACTGACACCAACACAACTTTAAATTAGTGACGGGGGGGGACCCGCAGACACTGGCCCAGAGCTGAGGTGGGTGCTTCTGACGAACCCTTCATCACTCAGCCTGATTACACAAGAAAAGGAGATGATGCAGTCAGCTATTTACTGCACAATATCCACCATGTCATAGTAAGTAAATAATTTAATTGTATGAAACCTTTTAACTGTTTGTGAAAAGAAAATCAGAAATTAGAAGTTAAAACAACAAATTGAAATGGTCTTAAATAATCTGATACAAGAATCAAAAATCAATAGCAATCACAAAGACTTTGACTTAGACAAACTTTATTGACCCACAAGGAACATGATTTGTACACAGTACAAATACGCATCACATTATATTATAGTAACAAAGAGCAAAAATATAAATGATAATCATAAATTCAGTGGCAAAAAAAATCAAGTAGTAAAAATAGCAAGAGACTGGTGTCACATAAGGCACAATTATATAAATGTACATGTACAAGTCACAAACCACAAAGGTTTGTTAAAAGCTCCTGGCCTTTAAACCAAAATGTTGCTTAAAAACATTTTTGGGTTAGGACTGGAACAGAAACAGAAAGCCATAAAAATAATTTGATGCCATCCTCCCTTCTGTCAGATGAAGTCATCATAGTGTTACCACAAACAAAGTCACTGGTTTACACCAGATGCCCTTCCTTGTGTGACTTCTCCATCTAACAAACCATGTTTATAGATTTCCATGTGTCGGGATTACTTCAGGTCACTCTCCTGTTATTGTTAACCTAAGTGTGAAAGGATAAGGTGAAGAAACGAGTACAAAAAGGGTCTCACTTGTTGAATTCCTCAAGGCTCTAAAGCAATGCCTTTAAAGGTCATGAATTGTCAAAGGTGAGGTAGACACACAAAACGAAATTTACTACAAAGGTCTGCTAAGACGTCATGAAGCAAAATGTGGGTGATTGAACCTTGGGCGGTACTTTGTTGCGTTAATGAGCGGGGATGGTAATCATTTAGTTTTTTTGGACGATGATCACATAGTTTATGATAAAGAAACATCTGTGAGAGGGTTTGGCTGTGCTAATGAGAAAATAGCAGCCTCGGGAGTTGCAATTACAAGCAACCTTTAATAATCAGCTTATTTGATTCATTTTGTACTGCCCCAAAGCTTTGCAAGATCTGAGTCTGAAACAAATGGGGAGATGGTGTTCTTCATACCTATATTATTATAAGGTGGAAACTAGAACCTTCAGTTTCCAGTTCATTCATATTTTATCCAACTTTACTATTTCCATAGAGCAACAGGGGATATGTTGTACTTACTTGCTCTGTGACAATGATCCAGGTAGAGCTAAAAGATATATCAAATCACAACTTGAGTCGCAATTAACTACATGAAAAAGCATGCAAAATACTCATTTCCACTGCAAACAACAGTGGGCAGTATTACAAAAACATTTCTTCAAATTCATCAATTGATTTATTTATCCAATGGCTGACCTCCAGACCACATGCTTTTAGAGGACTGGCTATAGATGATTAAAAAGACTATACGTCCATATTTAAAAGAATGTAATCCCACTAATAAACATAACTGCAAATCTAATCACAGTTGTTTATATTATTTATATTTGTCAAGTAAATAGTTCAGTAATTCCAGGCTCTGATCATTTGCTGAATGTCTCTCCTTCCTCTTCAACACAATGTCACACTAATGAAGCCAGCCCAAAGAATCTTGGTGACCAAAGTTTGCTATCACAGGCTCAGGATAATCACCAGTGTATAACCCATTTATCTGAACTGAGTCATTGGCATTTCTGAGAGAGGAGAATGGTCACAGCATTTCGGTAACAGCACAAAGGGACAGTTACATGATAAGGTACACATTTTCATTATGAATACTTTGTGACTAATACTGCTCTATGTTCCTGTTCTCAGGTATGCTTATGTGCAGTTAGAGAGGGGTGTCTTGTTGTACCCTCTAAATTGTCTTGTTCATGTCCCCATGGCCATATTGATCTTTATTCACAGTGATTAGCAGTTCCACCTTAAATCAGTCACCTTACATGCTACAGTATATATTTTGTTAATTGCCTCATTTGTGCAGTGATCAGTGTGTGTAGGTGGTACCTCTATTGACCATGGTATGCATTATTTTTTCAATGCATTTCAGTTTTTGTATTTGTTTTGTTAGGAAAAAACTCAGTCACTAAAAACAGAGCTTTATTTTGTCAAGACAAGTGCATAGTAGGCAAATGTCAGAGACATAACATCACCTGCCATGAAACCCAAAATGTGATTTTTTTTATTTTTTTATTTGAAAACTGATAGTGTGTGTGTGTGTGTGTGCGTGTGTGTGTGTATGTATGTGTGTATGTATGTGTATGTATGTATGTATGTATGTATGTACATAAATGAATACATGTATGTATGTATGTATGTGTGTATGTATGTATGTACATAAATAAATACATAAATAAAAATGTATTCATTTATTAGACCAAATTTTTTCGATAGCAGTTGGTCTTTTTGCCCTAACTGTTTTACAACATTCTTAACACTGTGTGAAAGCCTAAACATCATGATACACCGAAGGCCCATACTACAGTGTACTGGGTACAGGCTTGAACAGATGGTTCTAAATAAAGTAACGCTTGCCAATATACAGCATAAGTATAGACTGGCTTATTAAAGATTGAAGGGAATAAAGGGAGGCTTTGCTGCCCTCTGGTGGCTGAATGTGTTTTGACTAAAATCCAATCAATGCAACATTCGAAAACATGTGACAACTTTGAAAGTAAAATAGAGAATGAGTATGGGGGGGGGGGTTATTATATCAAAGTAAGTATTACATTTTGAACTATGTGTTTTGTATTTTCTTCTTTTATTGTTTCATTTTATCAGAAACGAATCATACGTCATTGTATAAACTGCGCATGCGCGAGCAGAAGCGAAACCAACACATCAACATCAGAGAGCAGACGAATGATGACACACTGTTTGGAAAAGCGGGGAGATTTTACTGAAACGTTTGGAGAAATCTATACATTTCACCTGTGACGGGAGTGTAACAAAACTGGAATAAGACTAATGTGAAGTTTTTTGGAGTCTCAGGATTAAAAAAAAAAAAAAACAGTGAAGGAGTTCACGCACTTGCTTCTTCCTGGTGTCATCGCTGCTGTTTCTGAACGTGAAGCGTGGAGAGCCCACGATGCCCGGGGTGTGTTTTAGTACGAGCTGGGCCAAAGAAAGATGTGGAAACAAGAGGTAAACAGCTCAACGTGATAGTGGGTGCTACTGAAGCTACTGCTACATGAGTCTATTTTAAGATGGCCCTAAGTTCAGACGGCTGGACGGAGCTCTCAGCGCACACACTGGACACCGCCGCTGTACCCAGTCAGTATGGGGCACCGGAGGGTCTTCTTGGCGGACAAACGGTGCTCATGTCGGTGCGGGTGTCGGTCTGTCACTCCGGTATTCGCCCGCTGTGTTTGCCCGGAGCAGGCGATGAGTCACTCCGCCTGCAGCTCAGCATGGACCCGGGGAAGTTTGGGGAATTCCGCCTCTCGCTCCAAGAGAGTAGCAGTGACACGGGCCGGAGTATGGTGAGCGACTGCCCTGCTACTGGACTGACGTTTTGTAATCGTAAACAAGGCAGATACAGCTACAAGAAAGAAATGTAATATATGTACATTGTGTTGACACAGCAACACTGTCAGATGTGTATCCTGTTGATCTGATTGCCTAGTTGTTTGAATAAGGCCAATGTTAATTTATAACAGGGCAACACTCCAAAAAGAAGTACTAAGCCCATTCATCATTAGAAGATGATTAGAAGATGATTGGTGGACTGGACGTAATGCTTTGTTCCAGTATAACATTAAAATTAACTACACAGATCTGACCTGTAACTTGGCCTGTAAAATGGCTTTAATGTCAAACTGTGAAACATTCAAGGCAAAGTAGAACATTCCCATGTAGGTGGCTGACCTTCCACAAAAAAGTTACATTGTGGCATAAATCACCTTGAACTTCTGCATGTAATAATATCTCTTCCCTTTTCAGACCATTGCTATGTTTGACCTGAGAGCTGTAAACTATGAGGTAAAGTCTCCAAAATGCCATGAGCTGAGTTTGAGAGCGCCGCCTCATGATCGGATCTGCTTCAACTTTCGCTGTGAGCAGGAGGCCCAAAAGTGGGCCACTGTACTACTGTCATCTCTAAGAGAAGCCCAGAGAGGTCAGTCTCATGTGAAATTAGTTAGTTATCCTCAAGTTAATCAGACATGATTGATTATATATATAACTGAGGTTTGATGCAGGAGTACAATTATTCATCCTGTGTTTGATACTGCCTTGTCTTCTTAATATTTCCAATAACCTTAGTGCTTCTTTTTGTTATCTTGCACTCCATCAGTGCAATTTAAGGAGTTGATGTTAATCACTGGGAATGTCCCTGTGAAAGGATCAGAGCTGGTCAGCCTAAAATAGACAAGAAGAGAGGTCTTGTGTTTCCAGAGCGGTGGCAGGACGTACAGTTCAGTGCACTGTAAAAACAAAACCTGGACATTCATTGTTTTTACTCTGATTTGTTGCAAGTTTTGAACATTTTTATAACTTAATAGCTAAATTTACAAATTTGTTGTGCTGAGGCAAACAGAGAAGCCTTTTTTGACAAACTTTGTCTCATATTCACATTCTCTGAATTTACCCTTAAAGGGATGTTGTATGAAAACAAAGGTTTTTTGTTGTTGTTTTGTTTGATGTTTTTGTTTTTAAAAGAATATTTGTATTAAACAATACCCACTCATTGTTGCCTTTTCACAGTTGTGCCTCAGGGTAATGGTGATGGTGCTCCCCAGGATTCACACACCACCATCCTGCAACAAACAGGTGTGTAGCAGACAGGATGAAGTCATTGTAGATGACCTTTGTCTCTATGACTTCATGTATTCATTCATTATTTCTTCATGACCTACACCTCCATAGATGTTCTGTTAGCCCCCTGGTGGCCACTTGGAGTTTAGTTTGTCGCTCATTTTCACTTTGTGTATCATCCATCCTTCATTAGAGGACACATGCATTCAGCTGACCAGAGCCATTGAAGCAGGTGATCTTCAGGCTGCTTCAGCATTCGCTGCCACTCTTGCACAACAACATGCCACTGTCAGGATTCAACCATCTGCCAGAGACGTGGAGGACTGTGAAATAAAGTAGGCTGATATGTTTTAGGGTAAAACTTCTGTAAATGCACAAGATTTGTAGTGTTTATGCATATAGTATCTAAGTGTCCAAACTTAATTGAAATTAATTTTAATGTTATAATTCCTATCTACTTTACAGTATGACTGTTGTGGTTGAAGATAGCGCTTCATCTTGCTGCGTGACTGTGAAAGTTTTGCCCCATATGCATACAGCAGCACTCAAACAACAGGTTTCAAATTTTTGCCTATTATTTTCACTTTAGATCTGGAAATTCCTATCAACAATGTCTTTATTTTTCCCTTTTGTTTTTTTCCAGATGTTTTTTGAGTATGGCTTTCACCCAAAGGTCCAGCGCTGGGTGATTGGACAGTGCTTGTGTGCAGACCAGCGTTCTTTGGCTTCATATGGGGTTCGACAAAATGGTGACACTGCCTTCCTCTACCTCCTGTCTGCTCGCCACGCTCGCCTCACCCCGCACATCCTCCAGAGGGACCAGGAGAATGTTTTGCTGCAGAATCCTACGTCTTCCTTTGCCAATGGTCCATCATCTCAAAACCAGCGGGCTTACAACACTTTGCCTTCAAGATTAAATAAAAGCTGCAATATTAGTAAGTATATACTTATGTTGTGTGCAAAGTGTATTTATCATATCTCATCTGCTTGTATGGATTGTAACAAGAAACAACCACATATAACTTCAAGGGACCTTTTTAGCATTACATCACAAGCTTAGATTTCAGAAAATACAAACCAACATATTTTTTGATTCTCTACGCAAACGTAGGCACGTATACCCATCAAAATACATAGAAAACATCATTTTTTTTGTTGATTTTGTGCATTTACTATCAACACAAAGTGTTCCTGGGGAAGTTATGTATCATTTGAAGGAGCCCAGGAAGGACTGTTAATTTGAGATTTGAGATTTACACTCATGTGGACACGTGCGGTGTGTTTAGGGCCTCAGGCTTAACAACCATCTATGCTACATTAATTGCTGTTAATGTTCTATTACTGTATTTGAAGCTGAAAAAGTTTAGTGTTTGGCCAACATTTTTGAAATTATTATTATTATTCATATGTGCATTTTCCAATGTTTTTGACAATCCATTTTAAATATTGCAGATGGATCAGAGAAAGAGCGTGTTAGTGACGTTAAAACTCTCATCAATTTGGAGATGTCTCAACTAAATGAAGCACTGAACCCTAATATAGTTGCTAACCAGGTACATTATAACTTACACTTGCTTTTTAATTGCTATTTGCTTTTTAATAAATTGTTTTATGTAATCTTTAGCAGGGCTGGTCATGCCCTTCTTGTACTTACATCAACAAACCGACCCGTCCCGGCTGTGAGATGTGCAGCACAAACCGTCCAGAGAGCTATGTTGTCCCAGGAGGATACCGGCCTGACCCTCTGGAGGTGAAAAGGATACAACAAGAGAAGGAGGCCATTAGACAATACCAGCAGGTAGGGAATAGCGGTTTTACAAAATATACAAGATAGTTATATTTTAGTATTCGGTCAACTTTGAGCAACAACGCACCGTCCACAAACAGTGTGTGGAAATGCAATTCCAGGCTCTCTCAGACTGACTCTCTTCTCTTTTGTCTCTGTTTTTTGAAGGAGAAAGGGAGAAGAGAGGTGCTGAGGAGTGCTGGAGCTCAAAACAACTCACTTCTGTTAAACTTGGATCAGGACTACTGAGCATACACAGAACATACAACCATTCAGAGTCCATTTCGATTTCAGTCTGAATGCAACTTTCAATATCTGACAAGAAGCAGACTTTCTTTTAAGATTAAAATGTATTGGGATATTATGCTGTGCTGCAATGCTATTGGATTATTATTATTTATTCTTGATTTATGCTGCCAAACTGCACCTTTAATTTATATATTTTAATAAATTGTATTTAAACAACAAGATATACTTTTTTAATTAATGTGTGTTATATGTTTGCATACAATCTAAATGTGTTATTTTTTAGATGAGCTGGTTTAAAATTAAGCATAGGCCTTTAATTGCAAAATGAGCAGTTGTAGTTTTCTGGGACTTAAAATGATTCCCACACTGGTCCCAGGCCAGAGAAGAGGAGCGCCGGGAGAACTTTGCCCGTCTGGTGATGTTGGATGGTCAGGACCTGGTGCCTAACCCTGAGCCAGTAGACTGTAGGATCTGCTACAGCGAGCTGCAGCCTGGAGAGGGCGTCCTGCTCAGAGAGTGCCTGCATTGTTTTTGCAGGTAGTTATTTTTTGCCACATCTAACAGCGCATTTGTTAAAATTGCATTATGCCTACTAAAGTAACACAGCATAAGATCTATTTAATTGTATGTGTTGTGTTTCCTAGATCCTGCCTGCGCTCTGTCATCATGCTGAGCGAGGAGCCGGAGGTGTCCTGTCCCTACAGAGACGACACATACGCTTGTGCCTGTTCACTGCAGGAGAGAGAAATCAGAGCTGTGAGTTGGTCTACTTTTTCTGTACTTCTTTTCTTTCAGGTGTGTGTAACTGTAAGATAATGATCATACAAAGGAGTTTTTTGGATCAAAGTTGCTACTTTTTATCACTTCATAGTGACCTATTTTATTCTGTATCTAGACTTGTATAATTGGGATTTTCGTCTTTAGTTGGTGTCTACAGAGGAGTATGAGCGCTGGCTGCAGAGGGGTCTTGCAGTGGCCGAATCTCGCTGTGAAGGGAGCTACCATTGCGCCACAGCGGACTGCCCAGGCTGGTGTGTGTATGAAGATACTGTCAATGTCTTTCACTGCCCAGTCTGCAGGAAACACAACTGCCTTGTCTGTAAGGTATGCTACTCATTCCTCAATGTATTGAATTAATTAAAATAAAGTAGGACCTTTTTGGTTTATGATCTGATTTATGTTGCTTGCTGTGTTTAAATTGGTCGACCTATTATTTTACGCAGAGTATCTTTGGTTTTAGGCTATTCATGAAGGAATGAACTGCAAACAATATCAGGATGATCTAGCTGCTCGTGCAATAAATGACTCTGCCGCCAGAAGAACCACACATCTATTAAAGGTTGGTTTTAGGCTGAAAAGATACATGAATATATGCAGAAAAGGTATTAATATTTTTAGTTTGTTAAGCCATGTGTTAAATATCTATCCAGCAAGACGTCACAATTTAATAAAACATTTACTGAATTCAGTATGCTAACCAGCCTATACCATACTATAGACACTTGTGCAGTCCGGTGAGGCAATGCACTGTCCACAGTGCGGTATCATAGTCCAAAAGAGGGATGGATGTGATTGGTTGCGTTGCACTGTCTGCCACACAGAGATCTGCTGGGTGACTCGGGGCCCTCGTTGGGGGCCGAAGGTAAGCGACTGTTGCTCATTTTAAGCTTATGTACTATGTGAATACTTAAGTAATACATGACTGTATATATTTGTACTTGTTACAGTTAGTATGTGGAAAATCTAATAAAATTGTATGTGATTTCCTCAAAGGGTCCGGGAGACACAAGTGGAGGATGTCGCTGCAATGTTAATAACCAAAAATGTCATCCAAGATGCCAGAATTGCCACTGAGATTCACAGGGGTTGACCATGTAAGGGAAAAGATGGTACCCAAATTAACATCTATTAAACTGTATTAAAGTGATATTACACCCACAAGTACCATAGCACCTCTAACTTAATCACAAACATTATTTATGACACAGAAAAACACTTCACTATTGACTGTATAAGAGATGTTATTGAATATCTGAATGCACATCAACAAAATTTCAAATCCTTACTTGGGTTCCACCCTATATATTTAGGCAGTGGGTCCCTTAAGACCCTGGACAACAGACCCCTTTGTCTCCCCATCTATTCCCCTGTTTGAATGTAATCTGATTTCACTGTTCTGGTTGAACATTTGCCAGGAAGGTAGTGATCTTGCACAATAATCACATGACCTTTAAGCGCCTTTACCTAGCACAGTTTGTATTTACCGTTTCAGATAAATATAGTGACAGAAATGCCTTTACTGCACAAATGAGTGTTACACATGTATGTTACAATGTGACTGACTTCCTGTGTGCCTTACTGATACATTTTCTCACACATTTTCTCCTCCTATTGTTTGTGCAGTGTTCATGTTTCACATCTACGGCATTAATTTGTGAGCAGCTTTGATACTAAGGTTTAATTGTGTCATATACATGTTGAGTATTACTGAGAATGTTTAATTTGTATTTATGTTTAAAATGTGTTAACTATTTCTTTGTGTTCATTGTGCACAATATACGTTTGCCTGTGAGTTCGTTACAAAGATATACGGCACAGACTCAAATAAAATGTCTATTGATCATACCAGCCGCTCTTTTTTTTTACATTTATTTTTGGTACGTTTTAAGCCAAATTATCAGTGCATATGGATTGTTAGGAGAGTTTATTGTAAAGGTTACGTAGCAAAATGTACATAGCCTATGTTTATAATCTTGTCTAATCGGTGCAATACAGTCGACAGTCTGAATGCACGCTCATTAGAAAATATATCTGGTTACTGAGGGGAAAAAAACAATTTCTTGTTGGGGCTTTGTTTTTCCAAAAATAACTGATCATCCGTGCAGAGGAGAACCTGAGAACACTGTGCAGCTACAGAAGCCTAGGATGGACAATTTTAAAAACTGCTCGGGAGCAGGCGTGACAGCTAAATGCCAACGCCACGGTTCCTTAAAAAATATGCGCTAATTTTACTTCTGAAAGGAGCGGTGTAATACTTCGCACATGTAGGGTGCTCTCCCGCTCATCTGTGGATTCACAGGGCGCTGAGTTTCTTGGAGGGTGGAGTTAAAACACACCGGACTGGCTTGAGTTGTGTGGTTTGCGAAAGGAGACACTGGATTATCAAAGATTAAGGAGCTAGAGACCCGTCCATTGACTGAGTCCAGGTAAGCGTAACGCTACGGAAATAACTGCTCAAGGGTCTGAATGTTGTTTTACGGATTTGGGACATTTTGAGGGAAACCCTTAATTATTCACCGAGTAGTGACTCAGTGGTGGAGCATATGTTGTTTCTTTAAATTACTGGCAAAAAACAATGCTTATTGCAGGTTATTACGTTCAACATATGGTTAGTGTAGTAAACTTCATTAGCCCATGGCATGTTTGCATCACTCGCCACTCCCCCTGTACGTGTCTTTATCTATCTCATCTTTGCTTCTGTCCTGTCTCTCCTTCTTCCCAGTTGACCATCTGGTTCCGTAGAAGTGTGCCTCCTTTGCCACAATGGCAGAAACTAAAGGAAAGTATGACTTTGCTATTGATAGAGGTGGCACCTTCACTGATGTGTTTGCCAGGCTGCCAGATGGGCGTGAGAGGGTCCTGAAACTGCTCTCCTGGGACCCCCAGAACTATAAAGATGCCCCAACAGAGGGCATCCGGCGAGTGCTGGAAGAGGTGACAAAGACTTTTTAAACTTTATTTCTTCTTCTTATTCAGCCCTACTTGTCCGGTTAAAGGTGCACTGTGTAGCTTTTTTGATAAGGAGCGTCTTTCACCTGCTTGTCTCTGGATATGTTACTAATTTCCCTGGAATGTCTCACAGTATGGCTTTTAACCTAATGCCAATCCGTGGAATACCATACTGTGAAACATTCTAGGCAGAACAATAACATCTACATGGAGACAAGCAGGTGGTGGAAGCTCCCCAGAAACATTGCATAATTCTCCTTTAAGTTTGAAATGTTTTTGCTAATTAAGAAATGGCTTCAAACATACAACATTGTGTGTGTATCCTCTGTTAAAAGAAATGAAATTACTTGCATGTGATCCTACATGTAGTGCACCCTTAATGTGGTTCACTGGGCTTTCTTCAGTTATTTTATTTGTTTATTACTATGGGCATGGCTCACTGTTTCGACCTGGTTAATTCTCTGGTTTATTTGCCATAGGAAACTGGGAGGCCCTATCCCCGTGACCAGCCTGTGGACACCTCACTGATTGGTTGGATCCGAATGGGCACAACTGTCGCAACCAACGCACTTCTGGAGCGAGAAGGAGAGAGGACAGCTCTGCTTGTCACAAAGGGATTCAAAGACCTTCTCCATATTGGCACACAGGCCCGGCCAAAGTTGTTTGATTTGGTTTGTAGCTCTGTCATCCCGATGTTAATGTTTACAATGTCACTGTAATCAGTTACCTAATACATGTTTTCAGAAAAGGCAACTTGGGCAAGAGTTGTCCCTTGAAAAACTTTGCCCGTTACTTTAAATATTTCAGTCTAGTGCACAATTTTGAAATGTTCCAGGCTTTTATTTCATTATTTTAAGGGATAAAATAAAATTTATGAAAACATATGCATAATATGTTGGAGTTTGCCCGTGCTTGGTGTAACATCAATCGTTGAAGTGGTCACTTATCTGCAAAAGTTGTCTGCAGGTCATTCTATTGGACCTTTCTGCTTTTTTCTTATCAGTATTAAGATGTTGATAACATAAGTGTAATGGTGAAAATTTAACTAATCGTAAACTGTAACTTCCTGTTATTGATGTGGTCTTTTATTTTTATTTGTCAAAAAAGGAGGTTGCTGTACCAGAAGTACTTTATGAAGAGGTGATCGAAGTGGACGAGCGAGTGGTTCTCAAACAAGATGGATGTCGGCTGCCTAGACAAGATCCTAAACGCTGTGTCACAGGTGAGTTTTGTAGTAGCATGTTTTAAAATATTATAATGCAAAGGCATTTCTTGCATTTTCTCCAGGGATTCAGTGTTAATATTAACTTATTACACCAGGCAGCACTGGGGACTCTTTGGAGGTATGGAAGGAGCTAGATTTGGAGCAAGTAGAAGAGGACCTTAAAGGAGTTTTGTCCAGGGGCATCAACTGTCTGGCTGTTTTGCTACTGCACTCCTACACGTCAGTACATCCTGCTACTGAAATACTTGAATGCTTGAAGGGCAAGGACCACTGAGATTAGATTTTATGATAATGATAATTTCGTGTGTGTTTAGAAACTGGTCAACTTGGTCCTGTATGATGACTTTGTGTTCTATGGGTGTGACACTTTTTCACTTCCAGCTCACACCTAATATAGTTGGACAGATAATATTAATGTTTGTTAACATTTTAATTCATATAATTAAACCTAATATATACTCTCCATCTATTATACTAAAGTAAAGAGTCTAGTGACTGACTTTCACTAGAATTATTTGAATAATTTCACCCCTGGAATTGTAAAACTTTAGGTTTACCTAGGTAGACCTAAAGTTTAGGTAACTTGAAAACTACCACTATATCACAAGGTGGAATAGAGCATTTTGAGCTTTGGAGATGTAGACAGACTAATAATAAAAGTAATACTCAATACTCAACATGTGTGAATGAAACAAAACACAGCTTCAGGTATGTTTTTGATGGGGTAAAAGCATTATGACATAATTTAAAGCTACAGGAGTCAAGAAAATATAGGGTTGGTAATAGTGGTAGTTGTAGAAGCAGTGTTTTGGTGGTTAGTAGTAGAAAATCTATAATAAAGTCACATACTTCACACTTTCTTCTTACTATTTACTTCAGATGGTCTGATCATGAGAAGGCTGTAGGATCCCTGGCACGTCGACTTGGCTTCACTCAGGTGTCTCTGTCCAGTGAAGTTATGCCGATGGTCAGAGCTGTTCCTCGGGGCTACACTGTCTGTGCTGATGCCTACCTCACCCCAAAGATACGCCAGTATTTAAAAGGCTTTACCGCTGGCTTTAAGGATGCCCTCAAGGTCTGATAAGCACTTTTTGAATCAGTTAGTGACCCATAATCTATCGCTGTGTTGTTTTCTATGTTGCAGAATGTGGACGTCCTGTTCATGCAGTCAGATGGTGGCCTTACCCCGATGGGACAGTTCTGTGGGTCACGAGCTATTCTGTCTGGGCCAGCAGGGGGCGTTGTGGGATATGCTATCACCTCATACAGCCAAATGGAGAAGAAACCCGTGATTGGCTTTGATATGGGAGGTAAAATACTCCCATATACTCCCAATAATCGAAACCACTGAATCTGACCCATTATAATAATAGTAAATACTGTATGTATAATTGTGTGAAATCAGGTCTTTTATTACTAAAAATGTAATGTATAAACATACATTCTCACTTGACTTGACCCTGTAACTTGTCATGGAATAGTACAACTTAAACAACACAGTAGTAGTAAGATTTTTAGATGAATTTACACAAGCTATAATGAATCAAAGGTATAATTGATTAAGAATAAACTGGTAACAACTTTATATGAAACTTTATACCAAACTTAGAGAAAAACTGAGTCCATTATTTAAAGTCTTTTTACTTCTTCAGGGACTTCCACTGATGTAAGCCGATATGCCGGACAGTACGAGCATGTCTTTGAAGCTACCACAGCTGGGGTCACTCTGCAGGCTCCTCAACTGGACATCAACACAGTGGCCGCTGGTGGAGGCTCTAGACTCTTCTTTCGGTAAGTCACAATTAAAGTCTATGTAATGTCTTTCTTGTGTTATATTTCACTTCTTTTGATTTGTCCTTTTAGATCTGGGATGTTTGTGGTTGGACCAGAGTCTGCAGGAGCCCACCCAGGACCAGCTTGTTACAGAAAAGGTACAGCTTTAATATGTTTTCTGTATGCATTTATATTTGACTTTTCTCTTCTCTCTGGTTTCTTTTGCTTTCTTGTGCTTTTATTCCCCCCCTTGTGGTTTCTAGAGTGGATTTCTCGGGTAACACTCCTCCCACATTGCTCAAACTTAACTCTACACCAGGGGTTTCTGCTTCTTGTAATTCAATATTGTGAATTGGCTCAATTCCAGAACATTATGTAACTCCAAGTAGTACAGTTGCCCCAAGATGTTCTTTTTTACACACCATAGCTTATTACTGTACAATGTTAAAAGCAGGGGGTCCATCACCTGCTTGTCTCCATGTCTCCATGTTATTCCGTTGCCTGGATTGTTTCACTATATGGCATTATACATATTATCTAAAAGAGCAGAGTTGCTGTAATTTTGATTCCTTTTCAAAAATACACTTTAAAAATCCAACACTCAGATCCATGCTTGTAAAGACAACTGTTCAACTCCACGTTGTACACAACATTGTTATATGTTGTAAATAGGGATGCACAAATACTATTTACTGGCTGATTGTCTCATAATGTTTGAACTTTTATTCATACAAAGCTGTTCATTTATGTATACATTAGTTGCATAACACAGTTGGATCTATTATGTAATAAGTTAACTGTGTTTTAAGGAAGTAAGTGCCATTTTCCATCCCTGTACTGGTATATTTTAATATTGGGTTGCAGCAGGTGCTTAAAGTCAAAGTATCAATATGATATT